ATACAATATTAAAGTTTAGATTAAGGATTACAACTTTCATTATTTGATTTTTAGTAATTAACTTGTAAAAATTAAGACTTGTATTAGAAGTAAAGATTTTTTAACAGGAAAAATATATAAAATTTAGAAAGTTTAAAAAAAAATTTTATAATAAAAAATTTGAAAAAAAAATTTTTAAATCTTTTTAAAAGTTTTTTTATATTTTTAAAAAAATTTCTTAATAAAGTTAATATAATAGATTTTAAAACTTAATAAATACAGTATATATAGTAGCTAAAATTAATATTTAAAATTTTATTAAAGAATTGTAAAAATCTTTGAAAGCAAATTTGTCTAGATTACAATTTAAGGGATAGTAATTTATTTCAAATTTGAAATAGTTTTGTAGTAAATTTTTTTACCAGGTTTAAAGCTATTCTTTAGTAATTTTTTGTTAGATCTGAAGTTGTTTTTGGTAATTGTTGTTTGGGTTCGAATATTTTTTAATAGTTTTTATTAGCATTTTGATATTTTGAATACTGTTATTATTTTTTGGTTTTGTTTTTTTATTTTATTTTTTTTAATAAAAAAAATTGGGTTGATATATTCCAAATCTATTACATAATTAAGTCTGTAAAGTGAGATCAGGTTTCAGATTTGTAAATCAGGTCACATGACTTTTGCTTGTTTTAATTGGCTAATAAGCCAGAGATATATACTGTAGTTATATATCTCTAGCTAGAGATGCCTAGAAGAACCTATTTATAATCTTTTTTATTATTATTATTATTATTTTAATTATAAGATTAGATATACAAACCATTTATCCATGGCTAAAACCCACCAGAGCCAACCGTATTCCCACTATACAGCTGACCCTCCCCAACTGCCAATTAGTATTCACATGTCCGCCACATTACCCACATTACCTACTATTTCAACTCCCAAATCATTTTTTTTTATTATAGTATCTCATTTATATATATTATGACCTTAAATTAGGATAATGTTCTTATGCTGTCTTGTTAAAGCTGTTACAATAATCTATAATTTACTTAGCACATGACGACTCAGTAACTTTGCGATCATATGATTTGTGCTCTAGCAAGCATCTCTAATATAGTATAATGCTAAATTACTATTTAAACTTTAACAGCTAGATTGTTGTGATACACATCGCTCAAGTTATACTGTATAAGTACTCTTCAAATAAAAAATTGTATATTATTATTTATACTGTATTTTGGATAATGTTGCATGTGGCAGCATATAGGAGTGACATTAATTCCCGATGAAAAAATTTCCTATTATGGTGGATAAAATTAGAATCTTTACTAGGAAAATCACCCTAAGATTTTCCGATCGGCTAATTCAGAAAAACTTGGACCGGAATATCGAGTCTTATTCACATGTAAACCATCTACATCATTGATTCAATAGTTGTTAGATAAACTATCGAATCAATAACATGTGAATAAGAATTGGTATTCTGGTTTCCGATCGGAAAATCTTGAAGGGCGATTTCCTAGCAAAGATCCCAAGTAATAAAACGACAAGTCAGAAAAGAGACTCGGCGACATTTAATGCGCGGTATATTTCTCTCCAAATGTAAGGTTTGAAATGGACATTAACTATAAATCCAAAATTTTCTTCGCATAAAGGTCCTGCGATTTTACCCACCATAAGGGTACCCGTTCTCGTTATAATAGTACTTCAAGGTTTGGGACATATCATATTTTCGTGAAATAACACCACCTGCACGATATTTTGAGTATATGCACGTTATTTAGAGTACGCGCATGGGCGTTCTTTTGAGACAAAGTGTCATGGGGTTAATAATTTAGCACCGAAAATCTAGGCAGATACGGATCTAACGACCACTCGCTTATTTAGTTATTGAAAATGATATTGAGTGAATTATTTTCTTTATTCAAAATATGCCTTTGTGCGAAAATTCTAAAACTAAAACTTCTAAGACATCGATTTCACTTTCCCTTCAATACTATACAATTACGTTATTACTACTTTAGCTTTGATCACTTTTACTTTGGGTTACCGTCACTCACGTGACACGAAGATAAATTTTCTCAAACTTGTCTGAAACCCTAGTGTGGGGTGCGCGTCATTTCGGGACGCGCATAAACGTTATTTTGAAACCATGCATGCTATTTTTAATTTTCTAAATAAAGCCCATGCCCGTTATTTCGCGAAAATACGGTCAATTTCATTTAAGAAAGTAGTAACACTATACTGCAATTATACTGCACCTTTTCGTGCTTGAAAAAAATATTATTATTAATTGAAGTACCATTACTTTCTACATTATTACATTATTAAACGCCCCCACCATTTCTATCTATTACATATAAATAGAAAAAAGCTCAATATGAACAATACAGTATTTTTTTTTTCTCTTTTTTTCCTTTTTTTTTTTTTTTTGTTTAAACCAAAAGAGGCATAATGTTTCAAAGAATAAATTATTAAATATCGTAAATCATTAGAAATAATAATAATAATATTGTAAGTAAAAGCTCTTTTTTATGAACAGTTACTTTCAATAATCTATTCTGAAAGATGACATTTGTTTTGAGGATTACAACATACTAAATTCATCAAAATAAAGATGAATGTATGTATAAATATAGAAAGATATAATTATCTTTCTTCAAACTGGATAAATAATAGTCAAATGATTCGTCGCGAAATCTATATCCTTTCTTTAAAAATAATCTTTCTATCAATTTATAGTCCGTGTCTAACGACTTTTACAAGACCTACAACAGGTCTCACGTAGACTGCATACAGGACTGATGTAGCAATACTAGCTGAAATCGTGATAGTATTAACCAATGGCTTAACCACCAATGTATTCACAAGGGTGTCTTTCGTATATGTTTGTTGTTGCTGTTGTTGTTCTGTCATCGCTATTGATGCTGTCATCGTCGATGGCGATGATGTCTGAGCTATGGCTCTTTCTTCGAGTGATGATGCTACTGATAATTGAGCTAACTGAGCTTCGAATGTCTGATAAAAGAGAGAAGTATTTGTTAATTTAGCGATTTATCAAAATTTATCAAATAAATAAACAATATTTACCGGCTCTGCCGCTATCAAGATTTGTGGGTGAGTTTTTTGACTATATAATAAAAAAATTAATTTAGTAAAGAACAGCATCTTAAAAAAGCTTTATAAATACCAAACCTTTCTGCAACATATAAATAAGAAAAAAAAGAAATAGGGTAAAAGCTTACGCACAACTGTCCTACGATCGATTTTAGTCCTTCTACCTCTTTATTTTGTTCATTAAGTTTATACTCTAATTGTCGAATAGTATCTTCCATACGACCGGCTAATAATCCGTCAAACTCTTCTTTTTGATAATTTACTTTTGCTTCCAATCGTCTCATAGTTTCCTCCATTCGTTCAGCAACTTCAAATTGACGAACCATTACCGATTCTAGTGAAGTAAGTTTAGCAATCTGTTGTGATTGCTCCTGAACTTTGGATTCTAGTTGGTCTTTTGCATTGATCAGAGTTTCATTAGCTGATTCTAATGAAGTTAATTTAGAGATCTGTTGTGATTGCTCTTGAATTTTGGACTCTAATTGGTTTTTTATGCTGGTTAAGGATTCATTAATAGATTCTAATGAAGTTAACTTAGCTATCTGTTGTGATTGTTCTTGGAGTTTAGACTCTAGTTGAATTTTAGCATTGTTTAAAGATTCATTGGCGGCTTGAAGTTCTTCGAGCTATAATAAATGAGCCCACAAATTATGAATATCAAAAATAAAAAATAATAATACAGTATATATATAATATATAATAATAATAATAAAATTACTGTAAAATTGCGAAATAACATATAATAGCGCATTATTCCATATGCGCTATTTCAAGATAAAGGCCAATTTTTGAGACTGCCTATTAATATATTATATAAATTCACCATATATTATATGAAATGAGCGTTATTTCGAGACGCCATGGCGTTATTTTGATTTCGAAATAATGAACGCCCACGTTCGTTATTTCGCATTTTACAGCAATAATAATAATAATAGTACCAGTAATTATTACTACTATTATTATTACTATTATTATTATTATTATTAAAGTACACCAGTGGTGGTCAACACCATAATATATTATAATGATTTTTACTATTAAAAAATTTAGAATTGGATTAGAAGTTAAGATTTAGAGGTTGCTGAGTATTTGCATCAGGCATAAATAATATAACTAGTTTTAAGATATAGCAACCATGGTGTTAAACGTCACTGGTGATTTTAATAAATTCTATTACGATTATTATTATATATATTATGTAATTACCTTTTGAATATGGTGATTTTCTTGAGTAATGTTAACTTGTTTTTCAATTATTTGTGGAATTGGAGATACGATTTGAGGTGTTTTTAAAATTTTATTCTCAATATGATAAACCTGTTCACGTTTAATATCGTCATCTTCAAGGTTATTATTATTATGATCAATATCATGATTTAAAGAATTCTGAATTTTACTATCAGTATTGATGTTTGAAATTAAGAATTTAGACACCACAGATGATTCAGACGGTGATGTTGATGACAAATGTTCGTGTTCATGAAAATTTAACTGTGTGGTAGTCGCTATAGAAGTTACACCTTGGTCAGAATCATTTAAGCCATCTTCGTTGGTAATTTCAACATCAATTGGATCTTTTATATTGTTACTAATTTCAGCTTTATTGACCTGATAGTAGGAACCTTCTCTTATAACTTCATTACTAAGACTGTCAGAAGAAACTTGAGAGACAAGTTTCAACTCTTGTTCATTAACGGGTAGGTCCTCGTTAACAGATGTAGCAGGAGTGGAAGGATAATCAAGGTCATCATCTTTGTATTCATCATTTTGTTCAACAGGTTCAATCTTAAACTCTTCATTTTGTTCGACAGGTTCAATATTAAACTCTTCATTTTGCTCAATAGGCTCAATATTAATTTCTTTCTTTTGTTCAAAAAGGTCGATATTTACTTCATCTTTCTGTTCAATATTGGTCTCATCTTTTTGTTCAATATTGGTCTCATCTTTTTGTTCACCAGGTTCATTCTTAATTTCATCTTTCTTCTGTTCTAACGGTTCAACAATAATTATATCTTTCTGTTCAATATTAATTTCGTCTTTTTGCTCAATATTAGTTTCGTCTTTCTGCTCAATATTAGTTTCGTCTTTCTGTTCAACAGGTTCAACCTTAATTTCACCTTTCTGTTCAACAGGTTCAACAGATTCAATCTTAGTTTCCTGAGAATGTTCATTAGTTACAGGAACTGAAGGGGCAAAAGTAGTTGTATGCGAAATTTGAGAATCAGTTTGATTAGGTACATTTAATGTTCGTTTTAAAATTGAAACAGGAGAATCTCGTCCACCGGCAGAGCCGGAGGAGTCAATACGCCCTTTATAAGTTTTAATAGGGGAACCGTTAGTTTCTGGAAGGAACAAATCCGTTATATTATTATTATTAAAATTCTTGTGCTTATGGTCATCATCAAGTCCTAATAATTTATCAATGTTCAAACTAATACGATTTTTTCTACCATTCTTTGACTTATTTAAACCATTCTCATTATCTGAAAGTGGAGAATCGTTAATATTTGTTCTTTTATCTCTTTTCGCATGTTCCGTAGCTTCATCTTCATTATCTGAAAAAATAAAACTACGACGATTTTTTGACTTAATTTCACTACCATCATTGGTTTGCCTAGGGACAATACGATTCTTATTATCCACAATGTCCTTACGTTTTTCCTTTTCAGATTTAGATTTATGACTAAACATTCCTGATAATGTACGAGCCAAACTTTCACTTTTTTTCTCATCATTTGATCTTTGTTTTGACTCTAACTTTTCTGCTACTGTATCTTTTTCTTCTCTTTTTAGTATATGACGGAGACCACGAGATTTTGATTTTTTACGTTTTGATTTATCTTTCTCTTCTTCAATCATTTGACGGTGTTCCGGTAAACTTTCGACGATCGTTACGCTACCGGATGCAGAAGAAGCGTAACTTTTATCTCGTGGATGCTCCAAAGGACCCGATGAAGTGGATTTGTTTTCCACATCGACCTCTTCAGCGTGGATGCCATTTCCTGGGTATTGGACAACGTCGATGGATGATGTCATGCTTGGTCCGGATAGATATTATATAAGGTTAAAAAAAAAAAAAAAAAACAAGTAAAGGAGTGTAGAGTTATTATTCTATGAAATGTTTACGAAAGAAGAGATGAAGAAAGAGATGAGAAAAGGATGAAGACGAGAATAGCGAAAAGATGAAGAGGATAAAAGAATTGCCAAGAAATGTAAGGTTGAGCTTGTGTGAATTAAGATTCTTTGGGAAATGCTTGTACTTTTTATAATAGTTTTAAAATTGCTAAAATTAATGCCGTTTATTTATTTTTAAAATTTCACATACACACCAATAATAATAATAATCCTATTAATATGCTTATCAGCTGTTCAACAAATAAAAAAATAAACATTATGTCGCTATAACAAAAATAGGCGGGAGATTGGCCATTGCTTTGCTTTACTAAGTTACTCGATTGCGTTAATAAAAAAATTCAAACGCGTGCAAAATTATGTACATCGGATAACTTTAAGGTCCTTTGAAGCTTATTCTTTTGACAGAACGATTTTTAAATAAAGTATTACAAACTTATTTTTTGATGCATTCATTTGTTTTTATATGGCGTTTAAAATTTTGTTCGGATCATCCAAATATTTTTTTTGTTCTTGTATATTCATGTACATAATTGATAAAATCATGACAATCAGGATTTACTTTATCTTTGTTAAAACTTTATAATGAAAATTCAGATATATCTAAGTGAACTCTAATTTTTAGATGTAAATTTTTTTTATAAAGATCACCAATAAATGTTATTTATGTGTATTAATTTATTACTGTCATACGTGCACAACGCATACATCGTTAATCTTTTTGAATTTCGTTCGTTCTTCAAGCAACATACACTCATTTAGTTTTAAAGATGTTACTAAAACCAATAAAAAACAAAAGTATTAGGCATGTAATTAACGTTTATATTGATTAATAATCCTTATTTTTTTTCTTATTTCTTCTTATTTCTTCCAATCATTTTATTATTTATAAGATTTTCTTCATGTTAATTGGAAAGCCGCATGAAGTGCATATCTCTTTACAAATTCTCACACATGTTTCTATTGAGTTAGATAACCTGTAAAATTCCCGATAATTGTACTAAGCAACATATATTTTTTATTTACAAAATTTTAACTATATATATAAACGCAAAGTCGTTAGCCACAAACAATTTTGTCAATGAAAATATGTATATGTATATCATGTATATAACGTACATATCTGGTATATATACCTCAGCCTACGCAAGGTATTACCTACAGAAATAAACAATTTATCTTTATCTTTCATTAAGAATGCCATAATTATAATAATACGTATAAAGTTCATTATTTCTTTCATAGAAAAACATTTTGTTTTTCCTTATATATAAAATAGCTAGGAAATTTTAATTTTCTGGGTTATTGTCCGGAGCATAACGCTTTGATCATGTCCGACATGTGATATGATTACTAAGATTATAATTGGGTAAAAGTTACAACTGGATATGATACAGTTATCGTATGTATTACACTTCGGATATTAAACGTTTCACGTTTTTATTTATTATACTTAATAACTAACTATAAACATATTACAAAAAGGTTAATATATACGTATAATATATATTTATTTTATTACTAACCTAATACAGCATGTATAAAATAAACTTTTTAATATAATAATTATATAAGACAGGGTGAAACCATTATCGTTATCGTTATGTTTTTTTTATTATAGCGGATTTCACTATTTCGCAACTCAGGTTTCACCCATCGTATTAGGAAAAAGGTCGTTCGGACTTTCAATTATATTTTGTGTAATTTATCATTTTCCATAGACGGCTAACTGCATACAAAATATCTTTTTCTCTTGGCAGCACTCATATATGATGTGCCTCATATCGGTTCTTGCCTCAAGTGATAACCGATGCCAATCGTCAGGTGCGTAATCTAAATTGCGGCAGGTTATTTATTGTCTTATCAGATTTCCATACATAAGAATCTCTTTTAGGTAGGATAATGGTGGCAGAAATTCACGATCAGCTGATTTCGAACCCATATACAGCATTTTTTAGATATCTTGATATATATCGATATAAATTCGTCATGTAGGTTGGAAGCAGCCTGTGATCACCTGGTCGCGATTTTTTTTTTGCCATTACTATTCTACCTATCTCTTTTGAATGAATATTTCCACCTCGTGCTTTGCCAATTTTGTAAGCTTTCTATTTTTTCTTTAATTTGTTAATTGTTGATACGTATAATAAAACCACCGTATGTAATACTTTATATGTACGCATGTACAGGCATCGCTACAGCAATTTTAAAAGTACATGTGGTTAACAAAGCTTTAGAATTTAGTTTTTAAAAGTATGCCCTTTTTAAATTAGAAAAAACGTGTTATTTTTATTTTTATTTTATTTTTTTTGTGTTGAGATGACTTAAGGTAGGCTATATAAAAGGCTTATAAATTATTATTTTATTAGTTATATCTTTGACATTTATTTAAAATCATTTGTCTGAATTTTTGAAGCCATTATTTCCTTATTATTTTGCGCATTTAATTAAGAACGTTGATGTGTTGTCATTATCTTTTATTGTAGTTTGTACGTATTTGAATTTTATTGGCGATAGAATTATTTAGGTTAACAAATTACTTTGGCTGATTAATGCGTCATCAACATCTTTATATACCGAATTATAATGATAATGCCTCATCAACATCTTTATATACCGAATTATAATGATAATGCTTCATCAACATCTTTATACATCGAATTATAATGATAATGCCTCAAGGCGTCTCTGATAATCAATCAACAGGATCTGATGCACAACATATGGGCTGCCGTCAATAGAAATAAGGCAGATTGACATTTTTAAAAAAAATCAATGCCTTAACTTTCACAGCTCATATCTTGATGAACTTTGAGGCTATCTTGATTATTTTAATATTCAAAAGAAAGCTTAGATCGTAAGCTTTCTTTTGACTATTAAATAACTAAGATAGCTTCAAAATCCATCAAGATATGAGCTGTGAAAGTTAAGGCATTGATTTTTTTAAAATGTCAATCTGCCTTATTTCTATTGATGTACTTTAGATAATAGTCTTAACAATTGTTTAATTTTTAAAATGCATTAATTTAAATAGCAGTCATGGGACTATACCATTAATCCAATAAGTAATTACCAGAGAATAATAGCTTCACAATTAGAGATGGGTTACAGGTTAACTTTCTGAAATATTATTACACCGAAGCCATAATATTGACAATCTATTTACTGACATATTTTTGATATTTCATTTTTCTCCGAAATAACATTTAATCGATAACAAATTTTTCAGGTAAGTCATTTATCTGCAATTACCATTTCTCTGAATATTAAAAAACTATAGACTATTATATTTCATGTCAAGGAATCAGGTTGTCGAGAAATTAATTTGATCGAAAAAAAAAGCATTTGTTAAAAACTTATATCTGCGAAATAGGTTGTCAGAAATATGTCTTATCAGAAAATAAGGTTATCAGTATTATGGATCAGAGAAATGACACTTCGGGAAGTGGGTATCGGGAAATTTGCAACAACGTTAGAGATGCCCCTTGCGCAAAATGACGAAATTCTCACACCTGCGACTTCGCACACTTTGCGAAAATGACATCAATTTCGCGCGAAGTAAATCATTCGATTAAGATAGTTTAATGACCAGTAAACTAACAATATGAAAGCATTAGATAATTAAATAAACTTTGTCCTTTAAGTAAATTATGTTTATAGAATTCATAGAGCATAAATATTTTAATATCTGTAGGTATATAAACAAAGGTCCTATGTTTCACTGACAAATTTTAAAATTTACATGTGGCCCACGTATCGCGCAATGTAACCTCACACGAGGTGTGTGAATATATGCTAATTTACCTCGCGTTAGGTACATCTCTATCCACAATCTATCGTCGACTTGTTTAGTTAAACTAAGCAAAAATATTATTACATAATATTCTTTATCAATTATTTACTTATTTTTTTTTTACAGGTGTTATAATGTATATTATTAAAGAAACCTCGATAAAAGTTATTGAACAAAATTATACACATGACTTTATTTATTTTACGAGTTTTATAAATGGTCAAAATAATCTTTATATTGAAAAAAAAAGGTATTGAAAAACCACAAAAGTTTAAGTTCTTAACCTTATAACTGCAATACTTTATTGACAGCAAATTTATAAAGCTCTGTTGTCTACAGAGTAAATAGCATATGTAATTGCTTGTAAAAAAAATGTAATGACTGTACGACTAATAAAAATATGTATTTTTATGAATTTTACTTGAGATACGATTTCTTGATCTAAATATAAACCAATATAAAATGAATAATGAAAGTTTCAATTTTAAGTGACAGTATTATTACTTACCATAAGGAATTTCAACTGAATCAATGGATCGACTATTTACTATATTCATTAATTCAAAAATTTTTATAATTAATACATTTCCAAAAAATTTATTACCTGGCTCAGGAAGATTTGTAAAATTCAAAAGCCGACTTATGTAAATAGCTTGTGGATGTGTTTGATAGTTGAATTGCGCCGACTTTACCTGATCTTGATCTATTGAGAAATTTTTACCTGAGTCTTCAATTTCTTTATTTTTCGAATCTTTATAAAAACGATTCAGCGTATTAGCCAATTCTCCAGCAGTGAGGTTCTGCGTCTAAGCATCTATTCATCAGATCCAAAAGTAGTTTAGGAACTCGTATCTAATTTCAGGTCTAAGGCCATGACAAATTGTCATGTGGAACATCATGATATTGAGGATATCCATTAAAAACTTCTATTCCAAGAATAAATATCTGATTTTCAGTATATTCTTTTCCTCTTTTATATAATACAACTGGATTAACATAAGGAAGTACTCTTGTGACATTGGTTTACATAAACCAAAATCAGTAATGTGAGGACTAAACATATTTCATTAACTATATTTCCAGAATGAAAATCTTTATGCTTCGTGAATTGCATGAAGCCCATCAGCTATTTCATACAGTATAAGTTAACTATCTTAGAAGTCCAATTTAATTCATCATATTTACTATCTAATAATTTTCGAAGACTTCCCTGCTTTGCATACTGCATAACCATCATGTAGTTACCATCTTTTGGGTTCTTAGTGTCGATCCGCCTCCATGTTTGTGTTGATTTTCAACCTAAAATATTGATCTAATTCTGGCAACTCTACAGTATAATGAAAATAAAGATTTCTATTAATAAAATCTTTTTAAATTAAATATATAGCTATATATATATACCATAGTATATAGATATATATAATATATATAAGGAAAATTTATAAACAGAACTTGTTCCCCCCCTAATATCTCAAAATTTAGTAGGGCAAACCTAAAATAATCCTTTACCCTAACCACCCTAACCCTAATTGTAATTTTTATTTTTACATACTCTAATATTTTGTTTATTTGCTTATTTGCTATTTCATAGAGGCACTGTTTAGATTTTTCAAAATTTACCGTAAACGGCCATCAAAAGACCTCCCAGAATAGTAGACCCACCAGGTACTTGACCCGTGTGCAGGTCCCAGGATCTTCTTGATTAAAATACAATTCTTTTCAAACATCTAGATTGTATGTTACAAATGCAAAGTGTGTATGCATTTCAAATTTTTACTTTCGAATATACAAACTCTCAGCCATGTACTAGACCCCGGGTCTATAGGTTTAAAATAATTATTAACTCAATTGTTATATAAGATGAATATTTATTTGCTATGCTAAATGTGTTATTTACATTGTATATATTAGAAATCTTAATATAAACTTTGATTTGAATCTAAAGTTAATATATATAGCTGTTTTACATTCATTCATCAACAATTATATCTTCTTTGAAATATGTCCATGAACCTTCACTTGATATAAGCATGTGAGTTCATCGTCACCCCAATTGTCCTTAATTTTTAAGACAACAGCCTTCATTACTGGTAATAACTCCAAATTTGGATGATCTATTTCGAAACTTTGGGCAGGAGGACCATCAAGCTCATAATCGAAATCACCAAGTTGAATATATTCATCATGTTTCTCTTGAGAATCAACAGAGATGCCAACAATTTCGAAAGTCTTTGGTGCACGTCGCATGTCATCCGGATCCAAGGCCAATGCGGGATTTAAATGTTCGTAAGTGATTGAAGTCACTTTTATATTGTGACTTAAATGAATTGCAAGTTGACCGTGAGCACCGGTAAAACAAAAGCAGTTTCCTGCCTCATTGTTCGATGTTAAGACGATCTTTGCCGGTTTTGATTGGGTATGCATGATATTGAATATTTTCGAGACCTGACGTTTAACGAATTCATCCGGATATCCAACATATTCACTAGAAGTAAGGTGAGGAATTATACGTGCACCACTTGAAAGAAGAGCATAATTCGGGACGAGTCGAGTTTCAGACTCTGTATATTCTTTGATTACATCCTTAGCTATACGAGTGACCAAATCATAAATTTCATGTCTTTTTATAGACAGAAATTCATATTTTTCGCGTAATATATCATCAACAATTTTTGAGATAATATCATGTAAAAGTTCAAACCACTTCTCACATGAAATTCGTTGTGGTATATCAAGATAGAAATTGCGATGAATCGATTGTTGCGATGCGCCTATCAAAGAGCGAATTCTTGTAGTAATAAGTCTAGTGATATTTCCAAATTTAAAATGGTGATCAATTTTGGACCATGAAACCAAATGATCATTTGGGAAATTATTGGAAGACCATATAACTAAAGAATTATTATAATGAGGTCTAAAGAATATGGTAAAAAAAATCAAACTAATTATTATTAGACTAGGTAAAAAACTCGGAAATAATTTTTGTTGTATAAATATCAAACACTTTGGGATCAATAAAATAGGAAGAATTAAGAGCACCAAAGTGTTGCATGTCATAGAAAAAAAGAATTTCCAAGTTTGTTTACGTCCTAATGATATAGGGCTAGTATTGTATAATTATAATAAGCATATAAAATTCAAGTCCAATAATATACGTAAATTATTATTACATACATTGATTGAGATTTAGGGATGGATACTGGAGGTCGAATCTTTTGAATTTTTTTCATGGCTATCCAGTGAGTATTCGATGAGTTTTGGTTATCCACGAAGTTCCAATTTATATACGCCCTTAGATCTGACATTATATTGCAAATAGAAAATCTGGGACAGGTTACGTTAACTCCGACCTCCGAATTAATTATTAAAATTATATCATTATTTAAATAATAATAACAACAACAACAACAATAATAAT